CCCAGCACTCAGCTATGTGAGCCCTGAGCCCCTGTCTGTCCCAGCACTCAGCTATGTGAGCCCTGAGCCCTCCTTCTCTGCCCCAGCACTCAGGTATGTGAGCCCTGAGCCCTTGTCTGTCCCAGCACTCAGCTATGTGAGCCCTGAGCCCCTGTCTGCCCCAGCACTCAGCTATGTGAGCCCCTGTCTGTCCCAGCACTCAGCTATGTGAGCCCTGAGCCCCTGTCTGTCCCAACACTCAGCTATGTGAGCCCCTGTCTGCCCCAGCACTCAGATATGTGAGCCCTGGTCTGTCCCAGCACTCAGCTATGTGAGCCCTGAGCCCTTGCTGTGCCGTGGGGATGGGATCCGTTCCCAGCTCGCTCTATGGTGCAGCCACAAAGTGTCCTGGCCAGCAGACACAGCCCATGGCCCCGGGCAGGGGAGGAGCTGAGCTGTGGCCAAGGCTGGCCCGGGGCACAGTGCAGTGCAGTGCTGGTGAAGGGCCGAGCCAGTCCTGCCTGCCCCCAGCCCTGCTGTGGCACTGCCAGAGGAGGAGCTGCAGGAATTGGGCACTGAGGCACGGATGGGAAAGGGTCTGCAGGTGCTTCCTCTGGGCGTTGCCAGGATCCTGCTCACCCCCACGGCACAGAGAGAAAAGCTCTGTCCTGTGCAGAACCCCAGCCAGGCACAGATGCCCGAGGGACAGGACAGGACTCAATTCTGTTGGGGATCTCCTGGCCCCCAGAAGTGCCTGGTCCCTGCTCCTGGGGGCATGAAGCAGGTGTGGGAATAAACCTGCAGCTCCATCTGCCTGGTGCACAGTGCGGTGCCCGGCTGGAGAGCTGTGTCCAAGGGTGTGGGTGATCCCCTGGGAGTGGGTCAGCCCCAGGAACTCCCCCAGACTCACCAGCAGTGAGGGCAGGGCTGTGCCCAGGTGCCCTCTGTCCAGAGCCCAGTCTGCAGCTCCATTCTGTGGGCATTACCCCTGGCATCCTGCGCCGTGCTCGTCCCTCCCCCGGGGAACCCCGGCTGCTGGGAGAAGGATTTCCTTAGGAATCAGAGGGATGGTGAGTGTGCCAGTCCAGGCTGTGGGCACGGCACGGTCCCAGTGACTATTTTGGGGCCGCTGTGTGGGGCTGTGGCACACGGATTGCCAGGAAGCGCCGTGGCCTGCCCGGGCACCCGCTCCAGCTATGCGAGGAATGTCCACGCGCAGGGGTGGCCGCCCGCCAGGCCCTGCCGAGGCACATCCCTGACATCAGGGCTCCGAGGCACATCCCTGACATC